TTATTTTATTAAAATATAATTTTTATTTTATTAAAATATAATTTTTATTTTATTAAAATATAATTTTATTTTTTAAAATATATTATTTTTTAATATAAAAAAAAATGTATATATCAAATGATAGTGGGGGCAAGTGCCCTCACTATACTATATGAGGATCCGTCAATGATCAAAATCATCATGATAATCATGATAATCATGTCAAATCTAACCTTAGATACAACTCTTTTATCATCCTAACTATTACTCAATATTTGTAGTGGATTAGTGTTGCTAGAGCATGATGTATTCATTAGTCACATTTTTTTGACATTTTGTCTTCATGCCTATTAACTAATTTCAAATGAATAAAATAAACAAACAAAGACACACAAATTATTAAATAATGATCAACTAATAATTGTAATTTGTAATCATGATTATATATATATATATATATATATATATATTAAGTATCTAATAGGTAAATTAATAAACAAATGTGATTGTATTAAAATATAACAAGACTAATACATTCATAATCATTTTTTATTTTTCTATATTAATATTATGTCAAGGCCTATGAGATTTCTTGAGACATAAGACCTTGCTTTACAAACTCATCTACAATTTGTTTGTTATATGTTTGATGGAGGGTCTAGGGCTCACCTCATGAAATATATGTGAGCAATTAACTTATTTAAGTTAATCCACCATTTGTTTAATACTACTAACAACTCCATAAGTAAGATGATCCTTATTACATCCCTCATTAAACAAATGAATTGTTAAGGCCAAGTTAAATTCTATGAGCAAACTTCCCTAGGTTCTTGTCATGAAAGAGTTTAATCTCATAAAAGATCCCTCATATATAATTCCACTTGTACCATTGAGCATGAGTCAAGTTTATGTATAAACTCAAATAAATGTACCAAAATTATCTCTAATGAGGTCACCACAAGCTTTAATTTAATGAAATATCATTAATAATACTCATCAAATTTAACACAAAGGGAATGTTTCATATACATAAAGTTTTTACTTTCTTGTAAATCTAAAATTAAAATGTTATTTTTTTATATTTTATTTGTTATTTTAAAAATATTATTAGGGGACATTGTTTATTGGAAATTTTTTATATAGATTTTTCAAAACATTGTTTTCAAGAAAGTGAGAATATAACATTTTTAAATTAAAAAAAACCTATTTCTATAAATACATCTGATTATCTTTATTATTTATTTGCTTATTTAATACAATAAATATATTTGATTCTTAAATAATATATATATATATT